TGAGAGGGAGGGAGGGAAGCAGAAAGAGACAGGGAAGTGGGTGACACGAGTGGAAATTTCCACGGGCAAGCAGCAGGGTGCCGACTGCGTGTGTGTCACCTGATTAGCTGTGGAATAACCCATCTTCCATCTGCCCTCTGCGTCCCCACAGGCCACGTCCTTAGGAAACTCTATTTACAGCTGCTTTCTGTGAGTTGGGTTTTAGGTGGGGAGGGAGAGAGCTTCATTTCACATCTGGATTTATGGGTACAAGTAGTGTGAGCCCATCTGGAGGCAGAGGGGCTAGGAGAACAGGAGCCCCCCTCCCCCCCCCCGCCCCCCGAATGCACAGGACCCTCTGGGGCAGGCCTTGGGCTTGGGAATGGAGAGATCTCGCTCTATCCATGCTGACATCAGGGGTGTGAAGCCCTGGAGTCCCAGCACCTGTGTCCTCAGGCTGGGCTCTGCCCGCAGCACGTTAGGCCTGACCAGCTTGGAAACCTCCCTGAAGGTTCCAGATCAGCGCCCCGAGACCACTCCTCCCCCAGCCGTAAGGTGAGCTCAGGGTGGACAGGCATGTGAGCGCCGCCCAACACCTCCCACCCACCCAGACACACACTACGCGCCAGCTCGGTCCCTGCTGGTTCGCCCAGCTCCGTCCTGGGCGGCAGTGCAGCGGAGCTACAGGTGGGCCAGCGAAGCCTCCGCACAGGGAGACACCAGAGCAGGCCCAGACGGGAGACCCTGGAGCAGAGCGGGCAGCAGCCCACGCTCAGGACCTGCCCGCGATGGAGCCAGGAGGGTGCAGCTTGGCCCGGAGGCTGGGGTGCCGGCTCTGGATGGCCATCAGCAAGGCGCTGTTCGCCGAGTTCCTGGCCACGGGGCTGTACGTGTTCTTCGGCGTGGGCTCGGCCATGCACTGGCCCTCGGCGCGTCCCTCTGTGCTGCAGATCGCCATCACCTTCAACCTGGCCACGGCCATGGTGGTGCAGGTGACCTGGAAGGCCAGTGGGGCTCACGTCAACCCCGCGGTGACACTGGCCTACCTCGTGGGCTCCCAGATCTCCCTGCCCCGCGCTGTGGCCTATGTGGCCGCCCAACTGGCAGGGGCCATTGTGGGGGCTGCTCTGCTCTACAGCGTCACACCAGGAGACATCCGAGAGACCCTCGAGGTCAACGTGGTAGGTGCGGGGAGGGGCACCTGCAGGGTCAGGAGGGTGGCGGGCCAGGCAGAGGAGAGGGGCAGGGGGTAACCGCTCCGGCACCTGCTTCACACTTGCTGCGCTGGCCCTGGGACCCAGGGAATCAGACTGGTGTGGCTTTAGTGCAGACAGAGCAGGGATGGGGTTGTGGATTGAGGAACAGGTGGGAGCAGCCACACGAAGGGGCAGGAGTCGGAGAAGGACCAGGCATTCAAGGGTTGGGGTAGCCAGGGAGGGCTGGGGCTGTGGGTGACGGCAGGAACCCTGCATGCACTTCACCTTCCTCCCCACGTTCCCCCCAGCACCCTAAGGCCTGTTTCACCCACCCCCAACCAGATTCCCCTAGTGCAGGGGCCCTCAAACTACGGCCCGCGGGCCACATGCAAATACAAATATTGTATTTGTTCCCGTTTTGTTTTTTTTACTTCAAAATAAGATATGTGCAGTGTGCATAGGAATTTGTTCATAGGTTTTTTTTTAAACTATAGTCCGGCCCTCCAACGGTCTGAGGGACAGTGAACTGGCCCCCTGTTTAAAAAGTTTGAGGACCCCTGCCCTAGTCAGTTCCACCTACTTCCCCAAATCTCCTCCTTCCACTCCCACCCAGGTCTCCTCCCGATCAGCTTGCAAACATGCACCCCAGCTTCTCTGTGCCTCCTCTTTCCCACCAGTCCTGAGCCCCAGCCACCCCCCTAAATCACTGGCCCCAACCAACCTTTGGGGTGGGAAGGGTGACGCTACTTCTGCAGGGAGCAAGTGGCCAGAGCTGACCCCCACTCCCTGCACAGTCTGTAAGTCCCGGCCCTGGCAGAGGTGAGATGTGCCACAGGAAATGGGTGGGGCCGCCGCCCCTGGCGGAGCCGCGGACTCAGGGTAACCCTCTCACCAGGTGCAGAGCAGAGTCTCAGCGGGCCAGGCGGTGGCGGTGGAGCTGGTGCTGACCCTGCAGCTGGTGCTCTGTGTCTTTGCTTCCACCGACAGCCGGCAGACGTCGGCTTCCCCGGCCGCCATGATCGGGACCTCCGTGGCCTTGGGCCACCTCATCGGGGTAAGGGGCAGGGGGGCTGCAGGGGCCAGGGTGGAGCCGGGTCTGAACTGCGGCAGCGGGGACTGTCCCCTCCCGGGCCTGCCTCAAGCCTCTTCACGCCTGAACCCACAATCACCCCCAGGTCTACTACACCGGCTGTTCCATGAACCCGGCCCGCTCCTTCGGTCCTGCTGTCATCGTTGGCAAGTTCGAAGTCCACTGGGTGAGACCCTCTGCTGGCAGCCATGGGTGGGGCAGTGAGGGCCCAAGTCGGGACTGAGGCTTCGTTTGCCAGGGGCCGGCAGACAAGGCTCCTGCCACAGACCATGCTGACCCCCGATGGAGGTTTCCCTGAGCTCAGACCAGGGCTTGGACTTCCTTTCTTTCCAGCTCCAACAGCCCAGGGGACCCAGTGGACCGGCTAGAAATGGGCCAGGGCGGGCGCCACAGCCTCAAGTCCTGGCTGTTTCCTTATTCACTTTCTCCAGCTGGACCAATTTCCAAACTTGGATAAAGCACAAGGCAAACAGAAATAGACACACACACACCAGCAAAGATAGGAACAGCACTAGCCAGGGCTCCGGCTGGTACAGGGGAGGTGAGAGCAGGGAGAAAGGAGTGGTGAGGAGCCTGGGCCGCCATGGGAGGCACGATCCCCTCACCGCGGGCGTTCTGGACAGGACTCCCGCTTCTCAAATCTGCCACCTTTTAGACAGCTCGCGGGCTCCTGGGAGACCAAGTCGGCACTGGGGGAGCAGGCGGGGGTCCCAAAGGCACCCTGTGATCCCGATGGCTCACAAGCCGGTGCCCCCTCCTCTCTGCCTCCACAGATCTTCTGGGTGGGACCCCTGACAGGGGCTGTCCTGGCATCGCTCATCTACAACTTCATCCTGTTCCCTGACACCAAGACCCTGGCCCAGCGGCTGGCCATCCTCACAGGCACCTCGGAGACGGAGAAAGTGGAAATGGTGGAGCCCCAGAAAAACAAACCCCAATCCAACCCAGGGGACGCCGAAATGGAGAATGTGGGTCAGATAGCATAGAACCTGGCCCTTGCCGCAGGCTTTTGAGAGGCCTGTGCGTAGGCAGAGTGCCTCGTGTGGCCGGATTTCAGGCTTTCCGAGGAAAGGGGGGGTGTTTAAGGTGTGTAGGGAGGCTTGGCCTCTTGTCTTAACAGGTTGGGCAGGGGATACCAATCCCTCTCCCGGGCATTACATTTCTAGATAGAATCCGGGGAGCAAATCTGCTCCGCGTCCTCCTCCTCCATCTCTAATGGGACAGCGCAGAGGGAGGCAGGGGGATTCACGCCAGGGCTCCCGGCTGGTACAGCGGAGGTGACACCAGATCCCCAGGTCTTGGGGAGAACAGGAGAATTAGAGCCTCAGTCCCCTTAAAGACTGAGGGCTAAAGGGACCTCAGGGAACCCCAACTTCTTACCCCACCCTTTGGGAGGAGAGGCCAGACTTCCCAGAAGACTCAGGGCTCCTCAGAGGGGTCACTGCCCTTCGGTGTGGTTTGGGGGGGCTATGGCTCCCCCCTCAGACTGGGGGCTTCTTCAGGACAGAGATTACCCTTCCAATAGATCTTCATTCCTCACTCGCCCCAAATGCTCAGGAGAGAACCCCACCCCTGGGAAGAGCTGACACAGAAGATTTTTTCAGGTTAGCAGAGGGGCAGGATACGGGCAAGGAAGGTTTGAGCCAACGGGCCTTTTCCTGGGCAAGCTCTTCCGGGTGTTTTCCTGCCTCCCGCCCCCTGTCCCATTGATGGGGACATTCTGAGAGGGGATGACTCCAGCCCAGCCCAGCCCTCGGTCCATGTCCTGGGCACAGAAGCTGTCTCCAGCCTCATTCTCAAATCTACCAGGGCACCCAAAAGCTGTTGAGTAAGGATGGTAGGAACGATGCAGGCAATCAAGATTCAGTGCCTCTAAGGAGTCTCGGCTGGTTTGTTGGTTTTTACAAGCTGCTGTAAACCGATTCTGCCCATGACCTGGGGTCCTGCCTGGGCCTCAGCTTCCCCGGCTACTGGATGGGCACAGGCCTCCCCTGGAGACTGCTGTGAAAACAAGAAATTGGAAAATGTTTTTGGAAGTAAAAATGTTAGGAAAACAAAGCCAATAAATGATGATTATTGTTGCTATTACTGTAATTATTGGGTTTGAATACAATTGCTGTTGATAATGGGAGGGAAGAAGGGAAAAAGGGAGATGATTGAGAGGGAGAAAAAGAGTACGTTTTTCTCATTTCATTTGCTCCCATCATGGGAGCCCTGCCTCCTCTGCTGACCTGGGAGCTTTGTGAGTGTGTGTCGGGTGAGTTTCTGTGGAGCTTTGCGAGGGGGCGGGGGGTGCTGGGGGAGGGACCCTGGAATGAAGAGACAAGCCAATAAAAGTTAGTTCTTCTCATCTCTATGGCGCCCATCACCATGGTATTCTGAGATGCAGCAACCAAATCCATAAAATAGATAGGCCTTTCCCTTTGGCTAGGTCTCCAAAGGGGCTGGGGGTGGGGGAGGGACTGCCAGTCTTCCAAGCGCTGGGTGACAGGGCCCGGCCTGTGACCAGTGCCAGAACAGTCCCCAGTACTTGTGGCCACAGCAGCTGTGCTCAGTGTCCTGTGATACTGTCAGTGCAGGGTATTGTGCACATCTCCCCAAGCTGGGCTGCACTCATCCATCTTCACAAAAGCGCCCAGGGCTTCTTGTGCCTTTATGAGCAGGGATGGCTGGGCTCGTGTGTGTGTGTGTGTGTGTGTGTGTGTGTGTGTAGGATGTGATTGACTTGTTAAAGGTCACTTGGCTCAGTACCACAGCCCCCTAAGGTCTCCCTAGCTCCCAGCTTAGAATTTTCCAAAATAGTGCTCCAGGGGGGCTCACACAGGCTGCAGGCCCAGGATGGAAGGAAGCAGGAACTAAGGTTGAAGAGGGCAGGGGGTAGAGCTCCTGCAGCAGGCCCTTAGGCTCCTAGACAAATTATCTCCACATCCCCAGAGCCCAGCACACACGGGTGCTCAATAAAAGTCTGATGAATGAATGACTGAGGCTGGGCAGCTGGGAGAGAGAGGAGGTCGTGACTGATCAAGAGGAGGAGAATTCAGGAGTCACAGCTCCACATGAGCCAAGATGACCGCAGCCGGGAGCCTGCACTTGCCGGCAGGGGTAGCTGGAAGAGGGTGCAGTCACACTTCAGTCCCACCCTTACTCCAGAGCCAACTGTGTAATCTCTGTCCCAGGAACTTTGGACCAAAAGGGTAAGCAAGGGTGATTGCCGGAGGAGAAAGCTGGGGGCTGCTTTCACAAACAGCTCTGTGAGGCTACGCTAGAGCATAGACCAGCTTCCTGAGAAGTGAGGAACTAGGTTACAACCTGAAGAGCATCCCAAGTTAGACAGGAGTGAGTAACAACGGTGAGCCTCTCCTTCTCAGCAGCCCTTTAATAGGACAGCCGGCCATCTGTTCGGCCGCGGGAAGGGCTGGCCTTCGGGGAGCCAAATCTCAGCGGGTCCAGCCGGGGCAGTGGGCTCCGCGGCCACAGCCCCCGGCCTCGGGTGGGAGTGGGGAGCACAGAGAGGACAGACACCCAGCCAAGCAGACCCTTGGCGCACACTCCCTTCCTCCTGTTTGTCGGGGGAAGTTTTTAATTAATGGTGTGTAATCTGATCTGGCCCTTCTCCCTGCTGAGCACTGCTTTCAATCAGCAGAGCCATCTGCAATTGCAATTCATAATTCTCCCCAAAGGGAGGGGGACTCCGGACGGGTGCCTTGGTGATTAATACAATTAGCCTTTTATGTTGATGATTGTCTTAGCAGGAGCAGATGATGCCGGCACAGAGCCTAGGCTGTCGCTTCCCCATTGGTTGGCAGGAAGCCCTTCTCTGCTTCCCACCCCACTGCTCCCTCGGGTGTAAAGAGGACAGGTCTCATCTGGAGCCACGCTGTGGACAGGGGAGGGCCCACTGAGGGGCCAGGTTCTGGGGCACCTGTGGGCCCCTTGGACTGAGGGGAGAGGAGGAGCAAGGTGATGATTCAGAGACATACTTTCGAAGGAAAATCATTTTGACGTAAGGGATTCTGTACCCCAAGGTTAAAAGAAAAAGAACTACTTAAGGTGAACTATAGGTTGAAAGGGCTGAGTTTAAGTACAGGCTCAGGCACTGAGAGCTGTGTGCACGTGAGCACGTTACTTAACGATCCGGAGCCTCACTTTCCTCACCTGGAAAATGGGAGTTTGCTCCTGAGGGGCTGGAAGGACTACACGGGGTATACGTGTCCCGCACCGTGCCTGCGATCAGTGGTAGCGGGTTTTACCCATCACAGTAGACTGCCATTCCCTCTGCCAATGGGTCTGGCTGCTTCTCCTCTGGTTTCTAACGCAGCCCAGCTATCAGTCAAGAAGGGATCCTTCCTCCCCATAATCCAGGCTTAGCTTGAGCAAAGGAGAGAGTGTGTAAGTACCAGTATCAGGGGAGAAGGATCCAGAGGAAAGAGGAGTCAAGAATCAAACCCAAGAAAGAAACAGGACTCGGAACAGAGACGTGGAGCACTGCAGTGATGGCAGCTGGGAGCTGGTTTGGGGGAGATTCAGGAATGGGGGTAAGGAGGCTGGGGGGGGGGGGGGAAGAAAGGGGTGAAAAGCAGCAGAGAGCTTGGAGCATCCGGGATTTCATATGGCAGCTAAGCAAACGAAAAAGGAGCAGCCACAAGAGCTGAGGGTTTAAGAGGCAGCACAGATCAAAATCTGTGATCTCTGATCTACAATGAGGTCAAGTGATCTGGAACAGCTGACTGGGGTTTTTGTTTATGTTTTTTTTTAAAGAATAGTTTATTATTTAGAGAGAAAGAGAAAGATCGATGTGAGAGCATATGGACTGGCTGCCTCCTGCACATCCCCTACCAGGGATCAAGCAAGCAACCCAGGCATGTGCCTGACCAAGAATTGAACCGGCAACCTTTCAGCGCACAGGACAATGCCCAACCAATTGAGCCACACTGGCCAGGGCCTGACTGGGGTTTTGAAGGGAGACTCTGCTGGGTCAGGAGAGGGGATCACCCCAGTGTCCCTGAGCCCCAGCGCTGTTCTCCAAGATCTGAAGCAGTGTGAGAAGAGTGCTGCTTATCACACGAGAGATTAACCTACAGCCAGTATCAGGCCCAGCAATGTCATGGAGAAGACAGAGGGAAGGAGGGAGGGGTGACCTGAAGGGCTAATCAAGATGAAGCATCAGGCCAAGTTGTGGCCACTCTGGCAGCTGGGGCAGGGGGTCCACACAGCCAAGATCTGTAATCATGTCTCAGGGAGGGGCAGCTTGGTTCGTGAAGGGCAACTGAGGGTGGGGAGCTGAACGGCACTAATTAATAGGCAGCAGTCGGCGGGCAGAAAAGGGGGAAATGAAAAACTGTCTCAGAGCTCTGATGAAGTCAGATAAAGGGGCAGTTGTTTCGAGAGCCGATGGAGGAGGCCAGAGAGGCAGGGACCAACAACCCCACCCGCCCTGTGTGGACAGATCAAACAAGGCCCAGTCAGGCGGGCCAGAGGCGGGACAGGGTTGGGGAGGCCGGTTATAGAACACCGGGCTGGAGGGCCTTCCTTGGCCTGGAACATGCTCCAGGCCCTCTAGCTGCCTGTTCATCCTGAGATCCAGCTTTTTTTTTTTTTTTTTTTTTAATATATTTTATTGATTTATTACAGAGAGGAAGGGAGAGAGATAGAGAGTTAGAAACATCGATGAGAGAGAAACATCGATCAGCTGCCTCCTGCACATCTCCCACTGGGGATGTGCCCGCAACCCAGGTACATGCCCTTGACCGGAATCGAACCTGGGACCTTCCAGTCCGCAGGCCGACGCTCTATCCACTGAGCCAAACCGGTTTCGGCCTGAGATCCAGCTTTAACGCACGACTTTCCAGGCTCTCAAGGCTCCGGCTCCCCCCTCCCTCTGGGCTCCCACAGCACTCGGCACCCACCTCCATCCTGGCACCAACACGTTACTTCAGTTATCTGAACACTTCTCCCTACCAACCAGGAAGACCTTCTTAAACAAAATTATATTTTCAGTCTACTTCTCCTCTCAGGGCAACAGTTTCCTTAACTCCTGTCCTTTTCTTGTCTGGGTCCCCAAACCATGGCCTTCCAGTGTCGAAGGAGAAAAAGCACTCCTCTGGCGCTGGGGACGGGGAGCAAACTGGACAGAGGGGTGCAATACTCTCCCAGCTCCCTGCCCCGAGTACCTGACGCCTCTGACCTCCTTTGTGTTGAAGCCGCTGAGTGTCTCCATCCTACACTGTGATTCCAGAATGCCACCAAAATGTTCTATTATTTTGGTCTTGGCCTCGCTGATTCATAACAGCTTTTGCCCCCTTCCCTGACTCAGGGGTCACAGGGAAGGGCTCCGGGGGTCATGACTGGAACAAATGTTGACCCTACCCTACACAGGCTTCGTGCCAGATGTCCTGGAGCAGAGCCTTGCTTTTCCTATACCTCAGGCTCCCTCAGAGCTGAAGGAACTCCCTGTTTTAATCTCTCCACAGCTAAGTAGCAGGTTCCTAACACATCTGGTCTAGCCAACAGCATATCTCCCACAAACAGCTAACACTTCCAACCCAAATGACATGGATAATAAGATGCATTACCACTTTATGAGCCAGTAAGAAAGAAAAACCACTGCATTATGTTTGTAAGATGCCACTGATTATAAGAGCTCAATTCTCAGACACTAAAATACATATTTTAGGTGCAACTTATAACCAAGGAATAATCATTTCTCTCTCAAATCTTGGCCTTTAAGTTAGATTTTAAAGAAAAGGGGAACCACACTGGGAGGTGGGGCGGGGGGGGGGCGGCGGTCTTGAGTCTTCTTACACTGAACATAATTAAAGCATAGTGATTAATCACAAAAACAATATGTAATTATATATGTGTTTTCTGATGGTCTTAGGCGACCCCTGTGAAAGGGTCATTCGACCCCCAAAGGGTTCTCCACCCACAGGTTGAGAACCGCTGCTCTAAGGGGATGGATACCATTGCCCTTAGATGCTCTCAACTCATCTGCTTGACTGTTGCTAACCCAGCTTTTAAAGACCCAGGCCACCCTTGCTGTGAACATCTCCTCTCCATC